GACAGCCTTGGAGACCCTGTGGTGCAGTTCCACTCTGTCCTCTAGGGGCGCTGTGAGTCAGAATGGACTCCACGGCAGTGGGTGTGGCTTGGGCTTTGCTTCTGTGAAGATTGACAGCCTAAGAAACCCTGTGGGGCAGTTCCACTCTGTCCCATCAGGTCACTAAGAGTCAAAATTGACCCAAGGGCAACAAGTTAGTTAACCTCAGAATGTAAAAATGAGCTGGAACCAATAAATTCTTTCAGCGGTGGATAAACCCCACCAGCACCATGACCAGAGTTATTCCCAATGTTTTCCAGCAGCCAGTGGGAAAAACATGAATTTCTTGTGTTGAGTGTGTAGTTACTATTTCCATTTTGAGAAGTTCATGAAATAAGAATTTGTTATAATATCTTATTATGTAATTGACTTTGGATTATGCAATTTTTAATTATGGATTTTTGAAAAAAGAACCAATCCCACACCTATGAAAACATCAGGGATTTCTAAGGAGAATTATATGTTTTCATCCTAAGAGATGGGGAGTTTTTCAGTTAATTCAAATTGCTGGAGTCAACTATATTTTGTATTCGTTTCTTATAACTAAAACCCTAACATGTGGCTTCACAATCTTTGTGTTTCCCTAAGAGGAATTAGCTCCATAAATTAAAGAACCAGCTCTAATATTTAATCTTGGCCCACCTTCTGGAACTCTCCGCCACTATGGGCTGCCTGCCAAACCACCGTTCAGGCCACAAGCCGAGAGCCAGGAGCCTCTGTGAGATTAGGGCTTGGTGATTAGTCAGCCCCTCGGCCAGGAGTTTTGTCTATAGGAATGAAAAGCGGTTTGCTGCCATCAAAGCAACTTTATACTCCTATAAAATCTGAGTGACTTTGAATGTCTTATTTTCATTTATTTCCTTTTTATTTACCAAAGAACAGTGAGGATCACAGTTTGTACACCGTGGAACTAAGTTGCCCTTTCTCTTCACATTTCTTGAGGTGTTCTCCCTGTGTTTTTCACAAAGGAGTCCTGGTGGCACAGTGGTTAAGCACTCGGCCGCCAAGCAAAAGGTTGGCAATTTTAACCCACCAGCCACTCTGCAGGAGAAAGATGTGGCCGTCTGCTTTGGTAAAGATGACAGCCTTGGAGACGCTGTGGGGCAGTTCCACTCTGTCCTCTAGGGGCGCTGTGGGTCAGAATCGACTCCACAGGCAGTAGGTGTGGTTTGGGCTTTGCTTCTGTGAAGACTGACAGCCTTGGAGACCCTGTGGGCAGTTCCACTCTGTCCTCTAGGGGCGCTGTGGGTCAGAATGGACTCCACGGCTGTGGGTGTGGTTTGGGCTTTGCTTCTGTGAAGATTGACAGCCCTGGGAACCCTGTTGGGCAGTTCCACTCTGTCCTCTTGCTGTGAATTGGAATGACCTGGATGGCAATGGGTATAGTCTGGTTCTTATTTTTGTACAAGGAGCACAAACAGTTAAACACTCAACTACCAACTGATTGGGTAGTGTTTCAAATTCTCTCAGAGGCACCTTGGAAGAAAGCCCTTGTTGTTGGTGGTGGCATGGAGTCATTTCTGTCCCACACTGACCCCATGCCCAGCAGAACATAACACTGCCCGCTCCTGCCCCAGCCTCACAATCCCTGCTATACCTGAGCCCATCATTGCAGCCACTGTGTCAGTCCATCTCATTGAGGGCCTTCCCCTCTTTCGTTGACCCACCACCCTACCAAGCATGACATCCTTCTCCAGGGAATGGTCCCTTCTGACAACATGACCAAAGTAGTTGAGACAAAGTCTGGCCATTCTTGCTTCCAAGGAGCATTCTGGCTGCACTTCCTCCAGGACAGATCTGTTAGTTCTCTTAGCAGTCCACGGGACTTTCAGCATTCTTCACCAGCACCACAACTCAAAAGCACCAACTCTTCTTCGGTCTTCCTTATTCATTGTCCAGCTCTCACATGCACATGAGGCGACTGAAAATATCGTGGCTTGGGTTAGGCTCATCTTAGTCTTCAAGGACACATCTCTGCTCTTCATCACTTGAAAGAAGTTTTTTGCAGCAGATGTGCCCAATACAATATGTCTTCTGATGTCCCGACTGCCACTTCCATTGGTGTTGATTGTGGAACCAAGTAATATGAAGTCCTTGACAACTTCAATCTCTTCTCCATCCACCGTGAAGCTGTTTATTGGACCAGTTGTGAGTATTTTTGTTCTCTTCCAAGGAGGGGTCGCTATGAGTCGGGTTTGACTCGACGGCACATAACAACAACAACAACAAAATATGAGGTGTAATCCATACTTCAGACTTTAGTCTTTAACCCTATAGAGCAGTCCGACTGTGCACACGTGGGGTCACCATGAGTCAGAATCAATTCAATGCTAACTGTTTGTCTTTTAATTTTTGTCCAGTGCTATTTCTTAGCCTATTTCTCCCCCAGCATGATCTCTTTGAAAACCCATTCGAACTCCCTGTTGGAGTCCTTACATTTCCCGCTATGGTTTTGCCAATTTCCATTCCATCCCCGAGCCTGAAGACATCCTTTAATCAGTATGTCAAATACCATCTCCATTTCTCCTAAACATTCTTCTCATGACTCATTCCAGCGCAGACGTCCAAGAATGGCCTCATCACCATCCTCAGGAGTTCCGCCAAGCATTTCAATGTGAGGCAACATTTCATGTCTAACTTTCCTTCTCAGTTTGTTAATGAGTATCTCTTCTTGTTGGATGTTGTCAAGTTGATTCTGACTCCTAGCGACCCCATATGACGGAGAAGACCTGCCCTACAGGGTTTCCTGGGCTGTCATCTTCATGGGAGCAGGTCACCAGGTCTTTCTCCCATGGAGCTGGTAGGGGGTTGTGAACTGCCAACCTCTTGGTTAGCAGATGAGCACTTAACTGTTGCACCACCAGGGCTCCTCAGTGGGAATCTACTTTGTCTCATTTCACCAAATGTCCAGGCTGGTCATCAGGAGTCCACTTCTTGGAACCTAGGACCAGTGCAGTGTCTTAATTTGGCCCAATCTGAGGTAATAAGGACATTAGGTCATCAAGTCATTAGGACATTCATGGCGTAAATATAACAGTCAGCCTTGTGTAAGTCAAGTGTTGTGAAGAGGTGAAGGGTCAGACAGGAGTGAGGGCAAGCCAAGAAATTCCTAATCAGGGTAAGTTTTTTTTTTTTAAATTAGGATTTGGGCGAAGATTTACAGAGTAAATTCACTTTTCATACAGCAGTTCACATACACTTTGTCTCATGTCATTGACCAAAATTTACAATGCAGCAGCTCCCCTCCCACTTCCTCCCCACAGTTACCTTCTCCCAGTGTCCATCCCTTCATACTCTTCTGCACCCTGAGCTATCTCCCTGTGCATAAGCAGCCCTTCCTTCTCCCATGCTAATCAGGGTAAGTTTTGCAGGTTGCTGAAGACTTATAAAATAGAATTGTCTGTCTTCAAGTACAGTCTTCCAACCATGGGTACTTTGACGTGGCTTGGTCATGGACCACTCTTCCAACCATGAATACTGTGACATGGCTTGGTCATGGACCACTCCTCCAACCATAGGCACTTTGACATGGCTTGGTCATGGACCACTCTTCTAACCTTGAATACTATGACATGGCTTGGTCATGGGCCACTCCTCCAACCATGGGCACTTTGACATGGCTTGGTCATCGACCACTTTTCTAACTGTGGATGAGGCTTGGTCATTGGTCACTCTTGAGTGCTTTGATGTGAGTCATGGACTGTTTGATGAGGAAATGACAAATGGCCTGAGCCATAGGGAAGGGCCCACATGTCTTTGATGTCAGATACAATTTCTACCCCATCCTTTCTTAGTTGTGAGTTTGTGGCCATGTTACTTAGCCTGAGCAAGCTGAAGTTGCCTGTGTCTCTTCCTAGAGCTGTCATGAGGAGAAAATGAGACCATTTATGTAGAACACCTAGCACTGAGTTGGCATACAGTAGGACATCTAGGAATAATTCCTTCTCATTCAAAAGGAGGAGCAGACCAAAAGGGAGAAGCATTCCAGCACTGGAGACACCCCCTGCAGAATTCAGCCCACAGCAGCTCAGTGACGCCATTGGCATTACCCGGGGTTTGGAGGTGAACCAACTTGAGTTTGGTCCCAACAACTCCTTTCCGACCAGTGTGGTGGTCGTGGTGGGTGTCATGGACTCAATTTCAACTCACAGTGACCTCTTAAGACAGAGTAGAACTTCCCCATCGGTTGGAGTCTTTGCAGAGCAGACCAACAGTGCTTCCTCCTCCAGGGTCGCTGGGTGGGTTCCAACCACCAGCCTTTCAGTTAGCAAACAAGCACTTAACCAGTTCAGCACCAGGGCTCCTGATGACTCCTGGGTGTTGTTGTTAGGTGCCATCAAATCCTTTCCGACT